CGGGAGCTAGTTAGTGTTCCAGTCTCACCAGTTACAGACTAACGTGTTCTAAAATGAACAACTAGTCAGTCCAGGCACTTGGGCCCATGGCCCAAGGGTGCATCTGCCCGTCCTGAGCAACCCGCTGCTCAGACCCACCCCCTCCCCCCCATGTTAATAGTAGGTTATTATTCCAGTAAAAGAGTAACTTGGCGGGGTGATGGAGGATAGCACAGACCCAGCCCCGAGACCCCGTGAGGAAGGATCTCCCTGCAGCTGCCACAGGTCGTGGGCGGTGTAGACGAAGCGCCCCAGCGTCGGGGCGCGGTGCCGGCAGATCCCTGCGATGCAGCTGAGAAGCGAGGTACCGTGGTGCAGTCCCGAAGGCTTCGGTGGGACAGAGAGTGCAAGCTCCCATGCTGCAAATGCAGAGGCCGAGTGCTGGACCGCGCCGACAGACAGCGACGTGCCGAGTGCCCTGCAGCCGTGCTCAGGAGAATGTAAACTTGGGTGCTCTGGGAGGTGGGCCCGCCCAGCTCTCCGGCTTTGCTCTGCGGTGCGCGTGTTGAGAGCAGGAGCCAGTCATGCCATCCGGCCACCTCTGAAGCAGCTGCCTCGAGCCTGCAGGTCCCTGGGCATCAGGTGTCCCAGGGAGGCTGCTGGCTGCATGGAGTCCAGTGGGTGCGGCCCAGCTCGCTGCTCCCAGGTGACAGAGCGGCCGGCAGGTTCCTTGTGCTTGCGACAGCCTGGGGTGCTCTCTCCCCCGCGGCAGCGTCCTCCCTCCTGCGTGTCCTGCACCCCGGGGTTAACACCAGGGGTCCCGCGAGGCCCGGCCGCGGCACAGGCTGTCGCTGCGCTGCCAGGCGCTGTGGATCAGGCTCAGGGCGTCCTCGCATTTCTTCTTGACAGAGCCCTCCTGGATGGCCTTGTGCAGCAAATCGATCTGGAGCAAAGGCGGGGAGGTCACAGGACTGCCTGTGACACTGTGCTCGGAGCCGTCCCAGGTTAAAGGGGCTCCAGGGCACAGGGACACTCGGGGGCCAGAAAGCTCAGCTGGGGAACGCGAGCAGCACTGCAGACTCTGTCCGAGTCGCTGGCACTGCTGGCCCTGGGAGGGGAGAGGGGTGTGCTGGCCACCACTGCCCCATCTTCTGCTCCTCCTTCCTTGAGACTGGCCATCGGAACTGGTTTCAGGGGCAAACTGGGGATGCCGCTGTGTTAGCTAACTTGGTCCGATTTCCAGTGCATGGGGGGGAGCAGAAGCCTAGCAGAAACTCTGCTTGCAGCCCTCCCTTCTCTTCCACACCACATGGACCCCAGCCTGGCCACCCCTGCCATTCTGCTCTACTGACATGCACATGCCAAGGATGGCCCACAGCTGCCTCTAGAAAGCCAGACAGGCCGCCCTCCCACTGCCCCCTCCTTCAGTTCAGCCTCACTGTGTGGTGGGCGAAGCAGGAGCACACAGCTCACCCACAAGCCGCAAACTAATGCGGCCAGCACTGCCTCGCCTCTGCTCACCTGGTAGATGTCTTTCCAAACGGTGCTCAGTGCCGAGAGGAACCTCTCCAGTTCTGTAGTGCAACTGAAGTACAGGACCCAGGGGGGCAGGAACTGCTCGCGGTCCTTAGCAAACTCCTAAATGCCAATGGAGAGGTGTGGTGGTTATTTAGGGAGCCAGCCCCCCCCCACCCAGCATCCGTCAGGCCCTGTGCTGCTACACGGATATGCCCCACACTCACTATAATACAGTACTCCTTGCCCGCCTCTGTGGAGATGGCAGCGACGTCCGTCAGCTCCACAGTGCCGAGCGAGCGGAAGAAGCTCGTCTGGCAGTCTTCATGGCAGGTGAAGACCTTCTCATCCGCTATCACGAGGCAGCAAGGGATGCAGGGCACGGGCACCACCCCCTGCGGGATAACCTGACGGGGGAGAGGGCAACCCTTAGCAGCACCACTCTACGAGCTTTCCCCTCGACTTCTATGCGAGACTTCCCACGGGCATCCGGGGGCTTCTCCAGATGCTGCTCTGTGCGGCAGCTGAGATGGGTCAAAAACCAAAAACAGCTCCTAGGGCCAGACCCAGGGCTGGAGTGAGGCAGAGCTTCTCCACTGGCATCAGGGAGCTCCTGCTGATCTACTCCAGTGGAGGGCCTTAGCCCGGCCTCAGGACCCAGCTGCTAATCCCCTCCCCTGCAGCTCCACCCTGGCTGGGCTGGAGGTTTTGCTTCCTCATTTCACCTGAACAGACCTCAACAGCTGCTGTCCAGGCATCCCTTTTGTGCAGTCACGGAGACCCTAGAAGGCCTGTCGCATTCAGAGCCAAGGATAAGGGGACTCTGCGGGGGTCTAAACAGCGAGGTGTGCTTCCAAGCTTTGGGGGCAGTATCAGAAGAATCATCAATAGATGCTTTGCTGCAAAGCCTGGGCCTAAGATATGCCACAACTTAAGGGCACCATGCCCACTCAGGAGCGTGGTCTCCTTCCTGGCAGGGACCCCCACTGCCCTGGCTGCTGGGCTGTCTGTCAGCACTGAGTGTCCATGACAAAGCAGCACGTACAGGACGTCCTTCAAAATGCAGGGAGGCCCATGGTGAAGGGCTCCACCCATCAGGGTGTGGGCACAGCACACTTCTAAGAGGCTACAAACCACCAGCCACAGCCACTCCACATGCCTGCTGCCCAGGACCAAAACTACCCTGCACCAAGGACTGCCAAGGACACCACTACCCCACACCAGAGGCCCCAGAGAGTCCTGAATGATGGGGGTCCCAGGAAACCTGTAGCCAGTGGGCTGGACAGGGGTGTGGAGAGCTGGGATGTGGAGCTGCAGGAAGCCTGGGCGTAAGACAGACAGAAAAGAGGGCAATGCTGGATGCCAGCTCCTCCATGGAGTACCAGCCAACAGGGGCTGCCGGCTGGCAGGTTTACACCAGCCTGGGGAGTGCTGACCCTAGCCAGGCACGATGGAAAGTGCCCCCACTCTGCAGCCGGGGGCCTGGAGCGTGCCAGGGCAGCAGCTCACCCCTTTGGAGACAGCCTGGCAGAAGTACTGCATCCAGTCTGCCATCTCCTCCTCATTCTCGGCACTCAGCTCCAGGGACGGGCGGTCTGTCAGGATCACCTGGAAGGAGTGGGGTCGCTCCGTGGTGTTCGACCGTCGGCACCCACCACACTGCTCCCCCCTGGCGGGCAACAGAGCAGAGGGGTGGGCTCGAATCGCTGGAGTTCAGAAACCTAGTTACTGTCGGGCCGGGTTCTGTCCCCATGTGCCGGGGAGCGGAGACGAGGCGAGGTGCATCACACAACCCCGCTCAAGGCTGTGGGGGGGGAGCGGAGGGGGGGCATGGTTGCACTGCAGGGTCCAAGCTCTGGGGATGTTCTCCCTGTGAGAGCGCGTGCAGCCCAACTCCAAGGCAAGACCCCTGCTGGGAATGGCCTGTGGCTGGTAGGTGGCTTAGGCACGGGGCAGTCTGCTGCACCTGGGTTGTGCACCACAGTCTCGTGCGTGTGAAACTGGCCATTGACAAACCCATCGCAATCACATGCTTTGTAGTCAGCAGGACCGGGTGCTCCTGCCAGGACTGGCCCAAAAGCCCTGAGCCTCAGATCCCTACTAGCCAGCCAGCAGGGTAGCTCCCACCCCCACCCGAGAGCAGGCAGCTGATAGACCAGGCCTCATTTGTCACTCAGAGGATCTCAGCGCTCTGAGGAGTGTCTCAAGCCAGACTCCCGCTAATTCATAGGGACCCATGTGTGTACAGGGGCCAGCAGCTTCACCCAAGAGTCCACGATTTATAGGTGGGGAAACAGACTGACATTGTAAGTGCCTTGCTCAAGGTCACCCAGGGGGCCAGTGGCGGAGTCAGATACAGCACCGAGTGCCATCGTCCAGTCTCCTCCCTGAATTATTTGATTTTGAGATGGAAAGAAAACTGCTGCAGTGTTGCAAATCTGACCAACTGTCTGCTTTGGAGAGGAGGCAGATCTCTGCCTGCTGGCATTGCTGCTAATATCCCGACTGCTGCTAGGCACTGCTTACCCTCCGTGGACATGCACTGAGTGATCTCAGAGCAGGCTGGAAGGACCTCCCCAGATCAGCTAAAATACAGGGTAAAACACCGGTAGACGAGAAACAGTGCTCACTCTGCAGGTGAGTGTCGAGACTGAGTGATGCTATCTACTGTCCAGAGCAGGTAGGTCAGGGGTGAGATGAATAGGGCCACTGTTCTGCACTGCAGCTAATGAGCTAATGCCCACTTACCCCATGGTCACAGAGAGCAGAGGCGTAACATCGGTGCGGTCTGGGTACTGGTATAAGATGCCGTTGCTGCTAATTGGAAAGACAAGACACGGGCTACGTAAATCAATCTGCGCAACCTGAACAGCAGCATAATCTTCCCCTTGCCTTGGCCAGCAGCTGATATATAGCTCCTGCACCCCACAAAGCAGTGGATCTTTGCTGCTAGCGTGGAACAGGCCACAGCACAGACAGATGCAAGGTTTATAGTTCCATAAGTGACTTAAAAAACACACACCAGAGCAAGGTTTAATCTGGCTAGCTCAGATACCAATGGCAGTCAACATGCACCAGCTTGCACTGAAGTTTGAGCTAGAAGCCCAGGCACCTACTCAGGGTTCTGGGTGGGCTGAAGCCTTTGGCACCATATTTTTTCTGCTACCAGCACCCAAGCTAGCTGGCGTGAGTATGCCACCACTCTGCAATCCCACCTCTAGCTGCAATGAGGTGCCTAACAGAGGACTGGACTCGAGGCCCAGGTCCAGCTTCCTCCGTGAGGACATCCTGCTTTACTTGTGAAGAAAACAGTAGGCTCCAACTGAAGTCCCATCCAGGCTCTTCGCCCCTCAGAGAGCCTGGGAACAGTATCTTGGCTGACAAGACCTGCCTTGGATAAAACCTAGCTGTGCACCTTATAGAAGCCATTGCTGATCTCAGCGAGGGCTCAAGGTGCTCAAGGAGTCTCTGGTCTCCTCCTACCTGGCCTCACTGAGGTGTCTACAACCCCCCCCCGACCTAATGCCTTCCCTGCCACCCTCACATCTCAGATGTGAGTTAGAGCGCCTATGGAAATGCAGTCCCATGTCCTACCTGAGCACCACAAAGCAGGTCTTCCATTGCTCCTTGCCCAGGTACGAGGTCCCGGCTTTGTAATACAGGATGCCCTCCTTTGTGACTGAGTTCTCAGCAGAAGTGTAATTGCTAGGAGCTGGTCCCAGAGCCTCGTCCATGGGGTCCTCCCAGTGAACAAGGCCATAGAAGCGCACGACCACTTCAGAAGCCTTTGACAGACAGACAGACCACAACGTTACCAGCCTTTCAGGCCTAACGGCTGGGTGGGGGGGATGGTGGGAGCCCGGCTTGGGAGCCAGCACTGCAGAAAATGCAACCTCAAGGGCCTTCATAAAGGAAGCCTGGCAGCAAGCTGAGTCCTCCTGATGGGGACTGCATGGCACAGTCATCACTGCACCTCCTGGTATAGGGCACCTGCCAGCTTAGGCATCTCCAAGCACCTACTGGCAATTAAGCCTCAGACCTGGCCTCTAAGGCTCGCTTCATCTGCTATGAAACCTGCCAGCGCCTCTGGGTGAACAGCATGGCGCAATGGGTGAGGAAGACTGACAATTCAGCAGGGAAGATAAGCCTGCCCACATGCATGGGGTAATCAGTGTGGGCAGAGGACACCGTAGGCCAGGGCCCAGGGACCTACTGGAAGCCCTTCCCGAGAGCCCGTGCATTAAGTGGGGACCCAAACGGGAACATCCAGTGAAGATTAGATTTAAAAAGTGCTCGTCACTCCCACCTCACCTCGCACTTGGACTCTTGGGCCACAAACTTAGCCAGCGCCAGCTTCTCCATTGTGGCATCAGTGAGGATGCTGGGATACGGTGGTTCCCGGCAGCCTTTGATCATGGCTGACTTCAAAGAGACCAAGAAGAATCTGGGAAGGACAGAGAGCTTTGGTGAGATCCCGTCTTGGTACCAGACCCTTAAGAAGTGCAATACCCAAGAGATCTAAGCGCCAGCCTGGGTCCTGGCTCAGAAATGACAGCGTGGAGCTGATCCTGCCACGGGGTCTACAGGAGCAGACCTCTTTCAACCACATGACAACAAAGGGGTTTCATACACCCACAATGTCTCTCCTCCCTGGGTCAGCTTGGAGAATCAGTGCCCAAACGTGCCAAAGGGTCTTGATATCAAGTCTGACGGGGATGGACGCATGTCTGAAGGAGCCTGCCTGAGAACGCTGCACTCAGGGACCTGAACTTACACAATCCTGCTGAAATAGTGTGGTGGGAAGGAAAGCCAACTGATTTAGCTTAAAACAGGAAGGTGCTGCCCAAGGGCCCCAAGGCACCCACAAGTCCGCCAGGGCACAGGCCACTTACAGAGTGAGGAAACAGCTGCAGGTTTGTCAGTGACCTCAGAACTCAAGCAATTTATCTTCATCCATCAAGGGCGATATAAAAAAGAGCAAGTGTCCTGCTTAGGGGCACTCAGTCCCAGCCTGGTCTTGGAGAGAAGGCTTATGTCGCACACTTATTCTGCAGTACAAGCAGGCATGGCAGTTTGCAGCAAAGCCTGGTCACTGGTGCACCTTGGGAACCACACACACGAGCAGTGCAAGAATGACAACTGGGATAATGCAACTGGAAGCTGCAGGCTACACACTGGAATTTCAGCCAGGAGAGGGAGCTGCTGGAGTGCTTTGCAATTCAATCCAAGAGGTTTTAAACCATTTAATTCAATCCAAGTGTTAAACCATTTCCAGGACTGGACTATTGTACTTAAAACAACCTCCAACTCGCATGCAGCTTGGGGACTTTGAAACAGCAGAGAGATCATAAGATCCAGACTCTGTTTCAGACGGTAGGCTTTGATCAGAGGCACTTGCCTTAACTTAATGAGGCCACTATAGATATACAAGGGACAGCCCCGAGGCCTTGAGCAAACTGCTGATAAATAAACCCATGCCCGAGGAGGGACAGCATCACGGCTGTGCACAACCATCTAACTTACTCTGTTAGGGCCACGTCGGCGGTGTCCAGCAGGAACTGCTTCCTCCGATTGGTACAGACCAGTGTTACCGTCTGTTGATCCAGGCCAACCTGTCGTGGTAACACGTCAGTGGCTGAGAAGCAGGATGGGGACAAGGCCTTGGAGAGAAACTCCCCCCCGCCCCCTCTTGGGCCCGATGCGACACCAGCTAAAAGCTAAAGGGGAAATATATTTATGGGGGAGAGGGTGCTTCCTCTGAATCCCCAGTTGAGATCCCCCACCTTGAGACCACACACCTTGTAGTCAGGCAGGATTGGCTCCATGACTCCACTACCAGAGATCACTCCCCCAAGCAGGGCAAGGCCCCTCCCAATACTCGTGTGATGCTCCCAAATCCCAGACGCCAGAAGGAGGCTGCAAAATGAATCCAACCCAGCCAGGCAAAAACTACAGGCCTCTTCCTGGTCATCCCCTGTGCTGGGTCCTGGGCCCAGGGGGGTCTACATCAGCTGTTGTGGACTCAGCCTGAACTCACCGAGACGTAGTCAAGCTCATTGTAGGAAACGGCCTCTTCCACCATGTAAGGCTTTTCCGCTGCTCCTGGCACAGGACACAGGGGAGTGTGAGGAACTGGGAGAAGGGAGATTTCCAAAACTCAGCACACAGACTCGCCCTGGTCTGCCCCGTGGCTTTTGGCCTGTAGGCCAAGCCTTCTCTCTTGCAGAATTAGCCATCCCAGGATTCTTGTGAGCAGGAGATCTGAACTTCTAGTACCAGAAAAAGGAAGACCTGTACCTTTCTTGCTCCCTCAACAGCTGTGAAATGTCCCTCAGCAAACTGCCCCTGGCATGAGCCCCTGCACCGGGGTGTGCAACCTGGAGGCCCCCCCCCAGCTCCCTCACTGCACATCCAGGCTTCTCAAGGTGAAACCCCTACGGGACCAAAAGGCCTCACTGGTGTCTGCGGTGCTTCACAGGGAGGTAGTAGAGAGGCCGCTGGGCGGGGATACCTTTCCGGATCAGGTAAATGTAACAGTCCGTCAGCAGGACATAGACGAGCTGGAGATTCCCCTCCATGTGCCCCGTGCTCATTCGGATCATCTGTGCAGGGAGAGAGGAGAGATGCCTCACCAAACCATGCTTCTGGTTTGCTGTTAACATGGGCACTGGGTCTCTGGGATGCAGAAATGCGATCCTGCCTGCAGCATAAAAAGATCCTGGCTGCAGCAGCAGGGCTAGCAGGCAGCCTGGCTCTTTAGTGTAACCCAGGTTATAACCGTGTTCCTACCAGGGCTGCGGCCTTGGAGATGACCAGCTCTGCGAGGTGGCTCTGAACAAGGTTAGGCTCCATCTCTGTGACAAGACAGAAGCGTACTTATCGCCTGGCTGATACCACTGCTCCCACACTCGCGTAGCCCCTGGCGCTCATGGGATGGACTGAGGCATCCCTGCTACTGTCCAGCGCAGGCTAAATGAGCCTTTGTCTGAGATGGTTTACAGGGGTGGCCCTGCCCTGAACAGGAGGCTGGACTAAGTGGCTTTCCCAGCCTTCTCTCTCTCTGGTTTTGTGACTGGTTCACCGTGCCACTGCCCTGTCTGCAGCTTTCCAGACAATGGTCCCATGTCCTGGGTCGCTGCTGCATGGGAAGAGACAGAATCGCTTGACTGGACAAGGCCAATCTTACCCTGAACAGCTGCTCCTCGTTTTCCCGAAAAACATGGATCATCAGCAGCAACAGATGGTTGTTATCCACCCTGCCGTGGGAAGGAGGCAGGGGTTAAACACGCACAAAGACCTCTTTCTCCCTCAAAGAATCCCAAGGGTGGAAGGGCCAAGGAGCATGAGGCACCTCAGGTGCCACCTAGAGACGTAGCGTATAGCTGGCATCGGGCCCCAGCATGCAAGGCTCATCTCCGTCTACACAGCCTCCATGGGGATCAGGACAGAGCAGGGAGGGCTGGGATCTGAGCACCACCACCAAACCTGCAGGGCTACTGCTTAGCTGGCCTTGCTCAAGGCCACGGCAGGAGCAGGGAGCACAGGCACCATCCGTGTTACCCACTAGTAGCAGGAGCTCACTCGTGGGGGGGAAGTGTTTGCAGTTATTCCCACTCTGCAGGGCTCCTCAGCACCATGCTCTGTCCCCCACGACTGGCCAGGGCTCCCCACGGTGCCTGAAAACTCCTCCAGGCCAGCGAGGGGGAAGAACTGCCTTACAAAGCAGCTCTCCTTGCCTGGAGGTGGGGACTCTCCACAGAGCGGTTTCCCCTTCTGCCGTCAGTGCCCTGCACACAGCGTTCATCTGCACTGCTGCAACATGCCGCTGCCCCCAGGCCCAGCGATGCCGTTTTACCTGAACTCCGACGGATGGGCCATGTCTGAGGGGCTGCCCTGGCCCTCCTCCACCCCAGAGTCCTCAGCGCTGCTCAAGGAGGGACTGGGCTGGTCTCTCTTGGGCTTGCTGGGTGCCTCGGCGCTGGCAGTTTCAGTCTCCCTGGCTTGGGGTTTAGCCACCTCCTCTTTGGAGTCCTCTACAGCCCCAGCCGCTTCTCCCTTTCCTCCTTCTTCCTCTTGTCCAGCAGCTTCAGGGCTACCAGGAACATGTGACGGTTGGCCATCCCCTGCAGAGTCATGGTTGCCACCACCTGGTGCAGGAGCGTTTGGACTCTCAACGGTAAAGCGGTAGAAGTCCATGGGGGTTGAAATCCCCTCACTAAAGTCGCCAGAGGGCGGCCCATCTGGGGTCTCCCCTGGCGTGCCGGTCCGAAAGGACTGATCGGGGGGCTCAGCGCGGGAGTTCCAGCCGCTGGGGTCCAGCTGCCCGTTCAGTTTGTCGATCACTTTGCTCAGCGGCTGCCCCACGCTCTCCATGGAGGTGTCCTTCATCTCCGGGATCCGCAGGTCCAGCTGGCTGAGGGCCGAGTGCTCGCTGCTTTCCTCCGGCCTCTCCTGGCCCTCAACAGCCTCTGGACAGGGAGGGCTGCTGGATTTCTGCAGCTCAGCACCATCACTCAGTCCGTTCACGCCACTGTCCCCACTAGACTCGGCAGCAGCAGAGGGGGAAGGATTCGCTGCTTCCTCCAATTTCACTTTCTTTTTCTTGCCTGTCTTCTTCTTTTTAGCTAATCTGCAAAGTAAGAAACCAGCATGGACGTTATCAGAATCCGGCCTTGCACACAGCGCCTATGGGAAGGGCACCTACACTTGTGATAAAGCATCAGGCTTGGGCATCTGTACACTTACCCTTTTCTGCAGGGACAGCTCACTACTACTAAAATGATTATCCTGTGACAGAAACAGCTTACAGTAGTGAAACTGGTACAGGTTTCTTCGTTGAATCAGACCGAAGAGCTAATCCCCAAGCACACCCACACATGCACACAGAGCCTTTCAGCCAAAAACTACATTGCCCTCTCTTGGCGTTCAGAAAAGCTGCACAATTTTGGTAGCCTGGTAGCACGTACAGATGGGCAAACCAAGGCACAGAAACTAAGTGACCTGACTAGAGGCGCCTACTGGGAGTCGGTGGCAGAAGCAGAAAGGATCCAAGTATCACAGCTCGCTTCCCCGCTCTGTTGGTTTGACAATCCAAGCTGACACCAGCTGGGTTTCAGTTTCTGGAGAGGCTGCACGTGGAGATGCAGTGATGCTTGCTGCCATTAGAGAGAGTCGCAAGCTCCAGGATGCAGCTATATTGAGGCTCTAGTTAGGAGCATCATACTACACGGGCTCCTTAGCAAACTGGTTCTGCCATTAACATGGAGAGTGACGTTCCTGTCTACAAAGCAGCGGTCCTCAACCTTTTCAGACTCAAGATCCCCCTTATCTCGTGACTCATGCCTACACACCGAGCAGGGCTAACAGTGCATCACGCCCCATGGCACCCTTGACAAAAGCTTGGGTTGTTTCTCTCTCTCTCTCTCTGTGTTTCTAATCATTGGTTATACTGCAGTCATCTATTCTAGACTCACTTGGTGGGTCACTGCAGGCGCCTCTTGTGCTGGTAGAGGACAGCCGGACCCCTAGCTAGGCGCATATCTGGGTTCACCTCTCTATTCTGTTATTCTACCGATCACGGGAGTAGCTGCATTCAGTGCTGAATTACTTTAATCCTGTGCTACGTCACAGGTTCTCCAGAATACTTGTTGCATCCTGTTCCTCATGCTGCACCGTCAGTTTTGGATCAGTCAAAGCCTAGGTGTTCAAGTGACCCTTGCCCACACAGTTCCCCAGAGGCACCCACAGATTCCTCTTCTCGGATCTGGGCAGCTCGGTACCAACCTGATGACTTCCAGCTCTGCGCAGCTCTCCGACTGGTCCGTGCCTTCTGCGGCTGCGTCCACCCGCTCCTGGGAGGCGGCATGCACGGGGGTGGTCTCGCTGGAGGACACTTCGGCCTTCTCGTTGAAGGGGTTGTAGCGCTGTGTTGGGCTCTTCATGGAAACCTTGCTGCCGTTTGTGTCAGAGGCCACGGAGCGCGGGCAGCTGAGAGTATCCGTGAGGTCTCCGTCTGGCAGAGGGGAAAAGCAGAGTCCTAGTCAGAGGCTGCCACCAGAGCAGGAATCCTAACCGAGCGTTTGGGTGTCAGTCAAGCAAGGCTGTGCGCACGTGCTGGGCTCTGAAAGGTCATGGCCAGCAGCACCACTCTAGCAGAAACTATCTAGGCTTGATACTAAAACTGCTCATTATGCCGGTACCATCAGGAGCCTCCTACGGGCACTTAGTAAATGGGCAACCGTGAGGCCCGAACTGCAGAGCCCAGTGCCACAGGGTGGGAACTGGCCTCAATTTGCCTTTCACAACAAATGGGAAAAAAAGCCTGTGTGTTCCCACGGGAACTCACTAGCGACCGGCAGCCTTCACACAGTTTCCGGAGGAGACGGCAACTGCCAGTACAGTAGGGACCGACAGCACCGGTGCATCACGGGCTAAGTGGGGGATATCAACCAGATACGTGGCCCATCGTGCTCCTCTGTCAGGTAGCAGCTGCCAGCTGGAGGCTCCAAATGCCCACTAGCAGCTACAGTACACACGCTGGGATCGGAGGGAGTTGGGGCCTGAGTAAGCTGCCCTGTGTGCTCTAGCCTTCATGGTGAACTCCTGCTCGGAGGACAGGTGGAGCAATTTGGGGAAACTGCAGTAGAAAAAAATCTCGGGCACAAGTTTAATGTGTAGGTGTGGGGAGGGGGAGCTGGAATCTGCAGCACTTCAGGCCAAATGGTAGCTTAGACATCATCCTATCAGACAGATCTGACAGAGTGGGGACACCAAACTGATTCCTTTGGACCCATTTCCCAGCTCTTCCCTGAGCTGCCATGCAAAGACCTGGGGATGGGCTGAAGAGGAGTCAGAAGCGCTGTGAAGGCACCACCTCCAGACCTCGCGGATGGAAGATCTGGCATTGCCACCCCTGTTAAAGGCACAATACTGATGGGGGTCCCACGGCAGACGTGACAAAGCTTACTTGGTCAGAGAAGTTACCCTGCAGGTATGTGATTTCAAACAGCCCTACAAAGCAGCTCTCGGTTAACCTTTCCAATTTTCTGATGAGGAATCACAAAAAGATCGGGAAAGTGTACGAGCACAGATTCTCAGCTCTCCATCGAGGGACAGCTGAATACCTAGCTTCTTTCTGATGCTGACTTCTCCCTAGGTGCTTGGCTAGCATTAGTTCTACCATTCCTGCTGCCATGAGCTCTCTGGCTTACAACAGGACAGGAGATAGGAGATTGCAGGGCACAAAATAATAAATGGGAAGCTACTTTCCTCCTGACATTTGATATGCAATGTTGGCCAGAGTTGTGGGAGGAGAAGCACAGCACTTACCAGGCAGCCAGTGTCAAGGAACAGCACAGAGAGCAGAAAAGCCTTAGCACAACTGGCCGGGCTAGTGTTAGTGGGAACGGACAAAAAGAGGATTTGTGGGCTCATGCAGTTCTTGCTCAGGGTTATGTGGCAACAAAGTCAGATCAAGGAATATCACCATGCCGTTCAGACAGACATTCTCAAACACTGTTGATTGAAAAGGCCGAATAAGAAGCTCTCAGCTGATTTGCTTAGCACAATTAAGGGTATAGGTTTGGCTCGGAGGTCTTGAACAGGAAAATGAAACTGTTTGCTTAAACCCAGCCTTTATAAAGATGGGGGTTTTTGGAAATTTTATTTTCAAAGCAGTGTTTTGTTTCAGGTCTGACCTGGCCCTACAACTGGCAGAGTAAGAGGTCTTCATAGGGGACCCAACACTGACTAGAGACAAAAGCAAAGCTGACTGGCGTGATCTTGATCTGCACTGTCCAAATGGAGTAAAATGGAAAAACTTAATGGGCTTTTAAAAGCAATTTTAGTTCCAGCCATGTAATTTATTACCTTCGTTACTAATATGGATATTTGATCCTGTCCAACAGAAAGGATTGCATCCTGATGGGTCCATTTAAATGAGGAAAAGTAGAAGGATTCTTAACCACTTGATTTTGGGGTATGTGACAAAGAAATCCGTTCAGCAAGCTCAGGCAGGAGAGAGGGGACTTTTCGATGCAAGACTTGCTTTGGTAGAGCTCGGATCAGCTCTATACAATACTGATTAAGTGGATACCAGCCCTGATCCTGCAATCTGCCCCTGAGGGGAAGCCCTCGGTGAGGATCTGGCACAGGGTTACACATGGAAGCTACAAACAGAAGCAGCACCAATCTCAGACTGCTACAGCACGTTTCGTGTCCTCCCCCAGCCCACAAGACAGCATGTACTCTTAAACAGTCCGCTGTTGCTTTCTTTCAAAGGCAATCCATATTTTCTACACCTGAGTATAGATGCAAGTTTAAGAAGCATATTATAATGGAACAATCCTCCAGAACTGAATACAACCTCCAATTCAATACAGCAGCCACTCAGTCTGGCTTGCCTTATCACACCCTGCATGTTGACTGTTCCAGGGAGCAGTAATGATTGGTAATATATACATCAGTACATCTACTAATTAACCCACCATAGCAAGCTAACACCAAGGCCAGCCACCACCCACGCTGTTCAACATCAGAGCTACACCAAACTTAACTGCTTCCCTCCAGGACAGCTAGAGAACCCAACCCAAAATTACAGATTGAGAGAATATGCATCTTGTCTTAGCAGAAGCTGCTGCAGAGAGCTGTGAAAGAGGGCTGGCCTTTGGGGAGAAGCCAGTTACCACAGCCCCGCCCCCTCCTCCATCCCTTAGCAGCAAGCACTGCAGGGAACAGTGGCTGGAAGCTATATAGGCAGGTTAAGTCAGTCCTGTTTTTCCCAGAATAGTGAAGGCTGTTAGGCCCCTGGCTGCAGAGAGCTCCCAGACACCCCAGAATGAGGCCAGATCCCACGTTACTCACTTGCGACTGAACCATTCAAAAGTGCAGTGGTTTTCATTCGTGGCTACTCAGCTGATGCTCTGAAAACCACAGAGTTTCTCTCTTGTGTTTCAGGAAATAGAGAAAAACATTTCAGAGGGGAGAGAAAGTTAGCAACTGAAAGGCATCCTAATGGAATTCCAGCAGCTCGTTCCCCAGACGCTGCCTGAATGTACCGGTCTGATAAACCTGTGTAATGGAGGGAATCTGTCCAGCTTTAAGCTACAAATGAGAGTATACAGTACATCCATGCTTCCTCCAGGGGTAATGCAGAGAGATTTCCTAATCCAGTTGCATGTGAAGAATACACGCAGACATCTGCTGGTGTATTTATGTGAACGGCGATGACGCATCGCATTTGGAAAAGGACAGCACGCTGCTGAAATGCAGATATGCCCTTCACACAAAGCCACAGACGTAGCTGACAGCCGCACTTAAAAAGGTTAAATAAGTGGTGCCGTGGCAAAACAGAATGAGGTCTTTAGCTGAATGTGATGGCTTCAAGAAATATTTTCAGGCTGGAAGTAGGCATGGGTCAAAGCCCAACGGGGGGGGGGGGGGGGGGG